TTTCTAACCACTCGAAAGATAAAAATTATATAAAAATGATAATTATTTTTTTTTATTTCTTAACTAAATTAATTTTTAATTTTAAATTTTTTTTTCTAAAAATCAAACCATACATAGCCTAAGAATCTTTTGATAAGTCATTTCTTACGTTGGTAACTTATTTACTTAATTGTTAATTTTACGACATTTTTACCATCTGAAGCCTGTTTGGTAATTATTTCGTTTTTAGTTTTCAATTTATATTTACAAAAATTTTAAAAACTGCCATAAAAACTTGTTTGATATTTTTTTTGGTTTATAAATGGTTGTCACAGTTTGTAAATTTGACAAAAAAACGTAAATTCAAAAAATGAGCTTACGTTGGTTTTTAAACAGAAATTTAAAAATTTTACTAACAAATTTTTTTTTAATTAATTTTTTGTTTCAAGTAATTTTTTTTCCAATTAATTTTTTTTTCAATGAATTTTTTTCCAATTAATACTACTCGATGGGGCAATTGGTAATGCTATTTTAAACCTTAGGGAGGAGATTGTAATTTTCTAAAATGTGAGAGGTGTCAATGTAATTTACCCAATGAGGGCAAAATTGGTATTTAAAAAAACTAAATTGTTGAGGAAGAGAATCTGTAATGAAACTTTAAACCTCAAGGGAGAGATGTAATTTCCAAAATGTGAGAGGGGAACTATAATAAACCTAAACTTCAGGGGGTGTCAATGTAATTTACCCAATCTATTAAGCATTTATCCTTAATAATCAAACTGAAAAACATGTTATGAAACTGTAAAATTTTATAATTCTAAAAAATGTTATGAAATTACAAAAAATTTTAGTTTTAAACCATGATTCATTTCAGTACCAAACAAATTGAAACTGTAAAGTTTTACAATTTTCACTGCTTGTAATTAAAACTTGAAGACAACTTGTTCAAAATTTGAAAATTCTTTCTATTAAAACAAGAAAAGAGAAGTGTATGTAGAGAAAATGTAAAAAAATTAAAAGATCAAAGAAGAGAGATAGATATAGAGAGATGATCATACTCTAACAAATATTTTTTATTTAGATCTAGTCAGATTTGATGTAGATCTACATCAGATTTGAGTAGATCTACTTATCTTCTTTGTCGGAAAGATATCCTTTTCACCGTCAGTGAAGGTGAAGCAAGGAATCAACGGTTGGTGGTTACCCATGAACCCTAATCGATAGTGGTCGTCGATCCTTGGTGACAATATATCAGAAATAAAAAGGGAAGAAGTAAGACTTGGTTGTTGGTCGCCGATCACCGGAAATCAAGAAGAGAAAGAGGTAGAGAAGAAGAAAAACGTTACTTTTGAATATAAACAAAAAGTTATGGGACTAAATAAACCACACTTCTTACAAAGAGGATTTTTTGGTAATTTCCCTTTTTTTCCGTCTACAGATTTATATAAGGAACTAGGCCCATAGGTTTAAGGTCCATGTTGGCCCGTAGAGAAACATGAATACTACTATACTACTTTTCCCTCTTTGATTTTAAAAATTTTTAAAATAATTTTTGAATTTTTAATATATATTTTTTAAATAGTTTTTGAATTTTTAATATATATATTTTTAGTTTTTAGTGATTTTTAAAATTTAAATTATTATTTTTATTTTTAGATTTACTTATTTTAGATTCACTGAAAAAGCACAAAATTTGTTTAAAAATATTTTAAAAATTCACTAAATATAAAAAAAAACATACAAATATATATATACAAAATTTCAGTACAATTTATTAATTCTTTTTAAATATCTTCACAAATATTTTAATTTTTTAATGTTTAGATTTGGTTAGGTGCATCTAAAAAATAAAAATTTTGATTAAATATAATTAAAAAAAATTCACTAAAGTCCAAAAAAAAAAATCAAACACTCAAAAATTATTTTTGAAAACTCAAAATCAAACAAAGTATTCTTTCACTTCTTATAATTTAAGAAGTGTAAAAAAATTATTTAGTAAATTGGACTCAAATATGTATTTACTAATAATCTGGATATACTTTAAACTCGTAATAATTTGCTTTGGATCTATCTGATAACGTTTATATTTATAATTTATACAAAATTATAAATTATAAATAAAACTTGTTTTGTTTTTATTTCATTTTAAAAAAATTATAAACAATTTGTAAAATTTATTAAAAAAATTTAACATAAAAAATTACTTTTACTTGTTTAATTTATTTTTTTCACTCCTTCCTTCTCATCCCACCCCTTCCAACTACCACCCCCACTCATCATCATGACCACTAGCTATCTTTACCTCTAGCTATCATTACCACTGACCCCCTTCCTCGTATCATACCTCCTTCAATCATCATCTCACATCCAGTCGCCAAACACTTTCGGTCATCACTTTCGACAGTTGACAACGATATCTAGTGGTTGGCAATAACCTCTTATCACCACCTCCACATGACAATACAACTATAGTCTCTAGTAGTTGACTATCACCTTCAATTATCACTCCACCCCCTTCCCTCTCCGGCGGCCGCCAATCAACTCTTTTATTTGTTTTCAAAACAAAAATTTAAAACACGTGTATTAAACATATTTTTTGTTTTAATTTTTTTTTTCGTAAATAAAAATAAAAAAATCGTTGAGAGAGAAAAAAAAAAAAAAAAAACTTTAGAACTAAGTTCGATTTACCTAGGGAAGGGGGAAAATAAAATGCGACACTTTCCTGCAATATGCTGACTCAGTTCACTAAAAATTCGAAAGAATGACTTGTAAATAACGTAGGATAGCAAATAAATCAATAAAGTACCCTATAAACTGCAAACTTTTTTACTTTTCCTTGTAAAGAGAATTTTTAATTACTTTCCATGAAATGTGCTTCGCATGCAAGAAAAAACTTTTTCCTTGTTATAATCACACATTGCAAATTTAGGTTTCGTTTGGAAAGTGAGTTAGTTTTTTGATTTTTTAATTTTTTTAACTATTTTAGCCTGAGGTTAAAAAATCTGATTTGGAAAGGACTTTTAGCTTTTTTGACTTTTTTAATTTTTTTGTGAAAGAAATAATTTAATGATTATGGGTTAGATGTGATATTTTGTCTTTTAGGCTAAAAAGCCTATTTTGTTTTTTGTGGCTATTTTAGCCAAAAAAATCCCCAAAATCCACTTCCCAAACATAGGCTGGGGTGATTTAGGATGATCTAAATAAATGCACTTTTTAACTTTTTATGAAATATGAGTTGGGTATGGGTTGAGTTTGAAGTGATGTGGTAGACAGGTGATGTGACTTAAATATGATAGTGACTTTTTGACTTTTGAACTTTTTTAAGTTATGAAAAACAATGCCTAAATATCCAAATTTTGTTAATATAATATAAGAGTTTCTATACTCATTATTAATTGGTTTTCAATTAGATTCTTTAACATGATATCAGAGTTTGGTTTTGGATAGCCTCACACCTGTGATGGTATTGGCCTGAGTCTTTTTCTTTCGTCCAGTCTATCTCTCAATCGCCTCCATGTTGCATGTGGTGAGGAGAGGAGTGTTAGACTTAATCCACATCACCAATCTAAGTTACTTAGTTTTGAGTTTGATACTTTAACAATGTTTAGTACACAAGAAAATATTTCAAGAAAATTATTGTGTGACTCAGATTTATTTTACTTATAAATCTCACAATACATAAGTTAAATCGGAATTATAATAAATTTTTAAGTATTTTTATGTGTACTAATTTTGTGTATATCTTCACTTGGAAAAAAGAAAGATTAAAGAGAAGATGCACTTACACATATGCTTTGGTTTTTCTCTTTCTTCGCTATTCCTATTTGACACATTAATCTCTCTCAACAAACTCTCAATTTGATTAAAAATAATAGAAGGTGAAAATAAAGTGTAAAACTAACATTTGTAACTATGTTTTTCTTACTACGAAAATGTTCGATTTTTATTGCCAACATGATGGGTAAAAGATATAAATAATGAAGGGGGCATAATTACTCAAGACCATTTTTATAGGACCAAGTCTGGCAAGAGGAAGATCCCCACTCTGAAATGGGCTCCTTTCCCCACTCCGAAGCAGGCCGAGTTAAGAGCCAACCCTAGTCCATTCCCCACTCCGAATAGGGCAAGTCCATGGACCCAACCCAAGCTTAGTTTCTCACTCTAGTATGGGCCGAGATAGAGGCCTAACCTTGGCCTTTTCCCCACTCCGACGTGGGCAAGGCCATGGGCCTAACTCTAGTACCCATCCCCACTCCGAAGTGAGTAAGTCCATGACTTAGGCCCCATGGTCCCCACTCACTCTAAAGTGAGTCAAGCCGAGTTAAGCTAAAATAGAACAAGCAACACCATGTGAGTGAGGACGCGTGGTGCCCGCGAATAACGGAATCGCTCAATAGAGTCTTTGCTCTCCTCCAATGAAGAGCAATCTAGCATAATGACTGAGTATCAGGTGGCGGAGAGAGGAACTTGGTGAGCAAGTGAAACATTCCCTATAAAAGGTAATCTTACTCTCCCATGCAAGGGATCGATCTCTCTAGACTCTATACATACTCATCTTCTCTACCTTCTCTCCACCAAACTCCGTCACTGACTTGACTGTCGGAGGGGTTTCAACCAAACCCTGGTCGAGCAACCTAACCATCTGTTCCTTGTGTAGGCCTTCACCCAACAGTGCTCGACACTACAAGAAAACAGTCCAAATAACACGAAGCTTTTTGCGACGGCATTTTCAAACCGTCGCGAAAAATGGCCTTTTGCGACGGTAGTGACCCCGTCACTAATGAATATACAAGAAAAATACATAAACATTTGCGACGCCTGGTTTACCGTCGCAATTTTTTTTTTTGAGATGGTAAACATTTAATGTCGCAAATAGTGGACCATTTGTGACGGCAAAAATCCATCGCAAACTAACTCTTGTTAGAACAACGTCGTTTTATTTGTTAGAATTTATCATTTGTGACGGTTTAAATATGCCGTCGCAAAAAGTAATGAAATTTTTTCAAACCCGCTCATTTTAGCCCATTCGCGGTCAATTTTCCCCCAAATCCCCTCAAACCTTTCTGAAACCAACCCAAAATCCCTAACACCTTTCTGAAACCAAAATCCCCAAAACTTTTTGAAGCAAAATCCCCAAAACCCTTGAGCCAAAATTCAACAATGGTGAAGGACGACGACGGCTAACAGCGAGTGACGATGGGTGAACGACGACGACGGGCAGCAAGTGAGCAACGAGTGACGACGATGAACAACGACGACGAGCAACAACGAGTGACGGCTAGCAGCGAGCGACGACGAGCAGCGGTGAAGACGGCGACGACGAGTGATGACTATATGCCCTCTCTCTCTCTCTCTCTCTAATTACATCCAAAGACTTCAGTTTTCGTGGGCTAAGGTTCAATTTGAAGTTCGGAAATGGTACGAGTGTTATATTGCAGAAAACTATGGCATGCCTTCTCTTTTCATTTGATTCTTTCTTCTGGTCATAATATTTCCTTAATTGTCACATTTTTTTTGTCGTTCTCATGGTAGCTAGTTTTTGTATTATTGTCATGTATGATGTATGAAGACTTCATCTGCTTTTTGATGCAATGAGTTTGTGATGACATCCCTTCTCTCTCATAAGGAAAATTGGCAAAATTTCGAATAAAGGAGCTCAAAGATGTTCTCAATCAACTGGGTCTTTCAAAGCATGGAAAGAAGCAGGTTTGATATCTGGAATATTTCCTATATTGCTTGTGGGTTTAGTTTCATGAATGACCTACTAGTTGTTGATATCTTGTGAACTTAAAAGAGTATTGGCTGGAAGCCTAATGATTCCAGCACATTGTTTTATGTTTGTCTTCTATTCATTTGACTTCATTTGCATTTTGTTAAAAAAAAAAAATACACTTGAAAAGAGATGAATTTTGGATTCCATTGTTGATGTAAGCATGTCAGAGAACCTGAAGTTTGCCCTCTAGTTTTAGGAAAATCTCACGTCCCAGTTTTCTTATTTGTCAACCATTCTAGGGGTTACATATGTGTGTGCTTGCAATTTATCTTCTGTAATTTAGTTAGCCATTTGTTCAGTGTTGAAAATTGTTTGTCAATAACATTCAAGCTTTCATTTGGTAAATCCCCTCCTCCCTTTGTCCTGTTAACCTCCTCACCCTGTCTCTTTGCCATTTTCAGCTCCACGAATGTAACTTCGCATTTCTTAAGCTTGCAACAGCTTGTATGGGTATCTGTTCATATGCCAGTGTGACTAGAATTGAGTAAAACTGGCCATCTCTTGTATGTGTTTATCATGAGGCAAGCTGCCAGAATATTATTTGATTATTTGTATAAAAAACTTAGCTTTAGGCTTATTTGTCCTTTCATAGCAAAATTGAAGTTCTAACCCTCATCATATGAGTTGATTTTTGTCTGTGTGTTGAGCATCTCTCTTATAATCTTCATTAAATCTTTATTGGGCTTTTGAATTGGATTATGAAAAAAGCATATTAGGTCTGATTTGTGTATAATTGATTATGTAGGCCCTTGTAGACCGGATATTATCCATTCTCTCTGATGAATGAGGTAACTAACTGGTTCTATTTCTCTCTTTTTCTTTTTTTCCCTCCCTTCAAATATGATGGATACATTCTTGTTACAAGTCCTCTGTGTTAATCAAGTATGATTGTTTGGGCAGTGGAAGTGGTACAAGACTTTGGGGTTTGGCCAATGATGATGGCTTTGCTGGTAGCCATGGTGGGTGGTTGTTTGGGGCTATAGAGGAGGGATTCTTGGTGGGGTTTGAAGGGACTGGTGGTTTGGGCCAGTGGAGGTGGTTCAAAGCAATGTGGTTGGAGGGAGTGGTGACGATACAGTTTGGTAGGGTGTATAATTGTTTGATTGAATGATGATGTGGCAAAATATTATTGGTTATAACAATTTTGTTGTGGATTATGTTGACTTTGGAGAAAAACATTTTTAATAAATTGAAAGGGTAATATAGTGAAAAGCCATTCTATTAACAACATTTGCTCCACAAATCTAACAACAGTTATACACACAAAAAATGAAGTGTATAGTCTAGATTAAAATCTGATATGACGTAGACTACACATTTTATTATTTATATATTTTATTTTTCCATATTTGCAGCATTGTTGTTCGATGATATCCACTTTAGATAGACTAGTGTTAATTGTTTTTCGAGTTTATAGCCATTTGAATTGTTCTTTGTAATCTGATAAAATTCATCTCCGATAAAGTACTGGTTGTTATAGAGTTCAGATTTGCAGATTGTTTCTTTAGAAGAATTACCAACAATTTGATTGGCTAGTATCTAACCAACTAGGTAAGAGACCATTTTCTTTTCTTGCATTGTTGTATAATCTATGAGGTTCCATAAGTCAAAAGGATGGGAGGGGGATTTTATCATTTTAGAAGATTGTATGTTCTTAATACTTTGGTTTGATTATGTATTTTTTATTTATTGTAAATGATAGATCAGCACTTCATCTGTAAAACAGTATCATGACAGATCATTATAGATCTGTCCTAGCAAATCATAATTCTCAAAGAAATCAGATCAAGATAGTAGAAGAAGCTGTGAAGCATGGGTATTTCGTAAAACATGTCGTACAATAGTCATACAAAAACTATTGTTGTTCTAAATGCATTGTATTTATGGGGTAAGCCATTCAAAGTAAGTACTACTAGATCTTCATCATCCATAGGTGAAGAAGCAAGAGCTAACTGATTACAAATTTCCAAATTGACGAAGATATTCTTCCACTGTATTGGATTTCTTTGTGGTAGAGTGAAGTTTATTCTTTAGTTGGTTGGTGTAAATGAGAGAATGAGACCTAAATCTCTTGCTAAAAGTGGACCATACCTCATGAGCATGTTTGAGATTGACAATAGAGGAGTAGATTACATCAATTATGGAGTACACTAAGATGGGCTTAATGTATAAATAAGCTATAATAAAACAATCTAGAAATCTTGAAGTCAGTGACAACAGTTATACAGAAACTAATCCCAACAAACTATCTTGATCTTTTAAGTTCTCACTAACTTGAGTTGAGGTGTTACTATTTTGAGACTAATGGTTTCATGTGCTACTATTTTGCAGATTGAGTGATGATGATCTATTATTCACAAGAAATCAGACCAAAGTAACTCCTGTTTTGGTGAGGACACACATATTGCATGTTAATAAACATATTTGTGGCACAAAGTTGGTAGACATATTGTTGTGGCGAGGACTCATCTTGGACTGTATTCAAATCATCAGAACACACATTTACGTAAGTTTTGTACAATATCCAAGAAGCTTGACTTTTAGCAATGACTAGGGATCCTTTTGTCAAATTCTAGGTGTCACTAGTTCTTTAAGAAACTTGAATTCGAGGTGTTGACGCCCCAAAATCACTAAACGGCGTAGGTTTAGCACGAAACTTGGCACACACGACCGCCTAGGCACGAAAGACTTGTGGGAGAAGACGGGACTCCAATCGGGTTCCCGGTTTGGGAGTTAGAGTCGTATTTCATTCTAGGCAAACTAGTTTCCTTAAGAAACTTGAATTCGAGGTGTTGACGTCCCAAAATCACCAAACGACGTCGGTTTAGCACGAAACTTGGCACACACGACCGCCTAGGCACGAGAGATTTGTGGGAGAAGACAGAACTCCTATCGGGTTCTCGGTTTGGGAGTTAGAGTCGTATTTCAGTCTAGGCAAATTAGTTCCTTAAGAAACTTGAATTCGAGGTGTTGACGCTCCAAAATCACCAAACGACGTCGGTTTAGCACGAAACTTGACACATAGGACCGCCTAGGCACGAGAGACTTGTGGGAGAAGATAGGGCTCGAATCGGGTTCCCGGTTTGGGAGTTAAAGTCGGATATCACTCTAGGCAAACTAGTTCTTTAAAAAACTTGAATTCGAGGTGTTGACGCCCCAAAATCACCAAACGACGTAGGTTTAGCACGAAACTTGGCACACACGACCGCCTAGGCACGAGAGACTTGTGGGAGAAGACGGGACTCCAATCGGGTTCCCGGTTTGGGAGTTAGAGTCGTATTTCGGTCTAGGCAAACTAGTTTCCTTAAGAAACTTGAATTTGAGGTGTTGACGCCCCAAAATCACTAAACGACGTCGGTTTAGCACGAAACTTGGCACACACGACCGTTTAGGCACGAGAGACTTGTGGGAGAAGACGGGATTCCAATCGGGTTCCCAGTTTGGGAGTCAGAGTCATATTTCGGTCTAGGCAAACTAGTTCCTTAAGAAACTTAAATTCGAGGTGTTGACGCCTCCAAATCACCAAACCGCGTCGGTTTAGCATAAAACTTGTCACACACGACTGCCTAGGCACGAGAGACTTTTGGAAAAAAACAGGGCTTGAACCGGGTTCTCAGTTTGGGAGTTAAAGTCGGATATCACTTTAGGCAAACTAGTTCCTTAAAAAACTTTGAATTCGAGGTGTTGACGCCCCAAAATCACCAAACCGGGTCGAATTGGCACGAAACTTGGCACACACGACTGCCTAGGCACGAGAGACTTGTGGGAGAAGATGGGGCTAGAATCGGGTTCTCGGTTTGGGAGTTAGAGTCGGATATCACTCTAGGTAAACTAGTTCCTTAAGAAACTTGAATTCGAGGTGTTGACGCCCCAAAATCACCAAACCGGGTCGGATTGGCATGAAACTTGGCACACACGACCGCCTAGGCACAAGAGACTTGTGGGAGAAGACGGGGCTCGAATCGGGTTCCCGGTTTGGGAGTTAGAGTCGGATATCATGTTAGAAATATTGATAGAGAGAGAAAGAGAATAAATTGTATTATTGATGGATATCTTGATATATTACAAGATTGATAAATTACAATTCCTATACAATCTATATAGGCGGCGATGGCAGCGATGGAAACGATGGTGGTGGCACCCATAGATATCAAGCTCGACGCACTTCTCAAAGCTCAACTCCTACTCCAACTAAAAGTGATAATAGTGGTGGTTTAACACCATCTGATGGAGGAGGTGATGATGGTGATGGTAAAGGCACTTCTCACGGTGACGGTGGTGGTGGTGGCGGCGGCGACAATGGTGGTGATGGCGGTGATGGTACTAGTTTTGGTGCAGGAAGTGAAGATTTTATTGGAGGATTTGGATTATGTGATGTTGGGGAACATTATAATATTAGAGAACCTGTTGCACCTTTACCCCAACTACCTAGGAGGTTTCGTGGTAGTGATACACGTAGGGATGAAAGAAGAATAAGAAGTAGAGAACAACAGCTTGATTCATCTGATAGTAGTCATAGTTATCCATATCATCCCTACCCATCCTATAGCAGTGATAGCCAGAGTTATCCTTACCCACCTCAACAAAATTATCCTTGGCCCCCTCAACAACGTGGTCCTCCAGGATACGGTTTGCCAAATTATCAACAAGCCCAACAAGAGTATGTTGATCCTTTTCAGCCAAGGTATCCATTTTCTCTCCCAATGCACGAAACAGAAAGGGATGACATGATGAGCACATTTACTTATATATTTCCTACTGGATGGGGTGAAGGTAGTAGTAATCAAGCTCAACAATCTGATTCCCAAGATGCACCACGTCACTCATTTTGGTGGGGTGAAGGTAGCAGCAACAATCAAGCTCAACAATCTGAATCCCAAGATGCACCACGTCACTCATTTTGGTGGTGACATTATGTAATTTTAGTAGTAACATTATGTAAAATGTACTCTCTATTATTTGTGATTTATGCTATGATGTTATGTACTTTGTCAAGTTCTTCCATTAAGAATGTTTACTTTTTTAAAACTATTTGAGTTAAAATGCACTTATGCTTCCACAAGTATAATAATTAAAAATAATTTTATACATCTAAGTCCAATAAAAAAAATTTTTGCCACAAGTGTAACATGGATTTATGACATATAAAGTCATTAATTATTGAAATAAAATGTAAAAAAAATTATTTTATAGTGATTTAAAAATATGAAATATATTGGATCATACTTAAAAATTATGAAAAAATTATCTAAATTTATTTTAAAACCCAATAAATATGATTCTAAAAAAAAAATGCATATCGGTAAGTTTTTTGTAAATTGTGCGAAAAATAAAAAAATTCACACTTCCGGTAACCGCAACCGTTACACTGCGGCCTTTACACCCCGCAACCGCAACCGCAACCGCGCCACCGCCACCGTTACGGCGACCGCAACCGCTTTTCAGAACCTTGCATGTTCTTCTTCAGTTAAATTCTATTCTGTGCTTGTTTTGCCAAATTCCAACCATTTCAATGCAAGGTTAGGTTTTACTATATACTAGTCTAGCGAATGATTGTTGGGATTAGTTTCTTCAAAGATAAGTTTCTATATTGCAGATAAAAATTGGAGACCGAATAGAGACAGTTCACTTCTTCCACTGCTACAAACGTGGAGTTGATCGTGTTTTTGTGGATCACCCAATGTTCCTGGAAAAGGTTTATTTCTGTCCTCAATCAACTGTTCTCGTATTTAGGGGTGAACTATGTATACTTTAGCTGTAATAGTCAGCTTGATCGTAGTTCTGATGCTTGAATTTCTGAACTTTCAAAGGTTTGGGGTAAAACTGGATCTAAGATCTATATGGGCCTAAGACGGGAGGATTACCAGGACAACCAAATTCGATTTAGTATATTGTGCCAAGTAAGTTATTTGATTCAACCTGTAGTTTCAAGCCCGTAATTCCATGAATGATTTTCATTCTTTGAACACTTGATTCAAAATAAAAAGTGCAGTTGTTTTGTCGTAACTTCCTACGATATTATATATGGAAAATGATTGTCAAGTAGAAATTTTATACTGAAAACTCACTAAAAATGCTGTGGTAGTGAAATTTTTTGAAATTATAAACCACAGTGCTTGGTAGGAATATATATATATATATATATATATATTTTTGTATATCATTGCTCATTATATATTAGAGAAGTAATCGGTCGATGGGCTGTCAAGGCAAAAGGTTGGCATTGTGCTCCAAATTTGCATGGTTTTGCATTCAACACGAGTCAATCATCCATGTTCTTTTTTGTTTTACATAATGACCACCTGTGCTATATCATTGTTTTATTTCCTCTTACTGCCTACTCAAGATTTTTTTTAGCCTACGCCTGATCATGTATGCAGTTCTACACTATTGCTTATATAGTATATAGCTGCATTCATTTATTATGTTGAACTCAGGCTGCTTTGGAGGCACCAAGGATTTTGAATCTAAACAACAATAAATATTTCTCTGGACCTTATGGTATGTTCCATTCTCAAAGTTTGTACCTTTATTTATCTATTTATTTTGCATTCTATTATAAATGGTGTAACATATCTGTCTCGTACAAATGCAGGGGAGGATGTTGTCTTTATTGCCAATGATTGGCACACTGCTCTTCTTCCATGTTATCTGAAGACCAAGTACAAACCTATGGGGATCTACAAGAATGCCTGAGTAAGATTGCTCAATTACGTCGTAAAGAATTTCAGGCAAAGAATAAAATTAAAACAGAAGAATTTTAGCCAAATGGCAAGGACTATTTGTTAGGATTTAACACTAGTGCTGACAAATGATGGCAGGTTGTTTTCTGCATCCATAACATTGCCTACCAAGGGAGATTTCCTTTTGCAAACTTCTCTCTTCTCAATCTTCTGGAACAATTTAAGTGCTCTTTTGATTTTATTGATGGGTATGTATGCAGATTTGAGTATTTGAAATTGCTATTACCCGAGATGTCTTAACATCGGGTAACTCTTGATAACTCTTGGTCTTCATTCCTCTTATTTCTCTCAAAAGTAATTATAATTCAAGCTAAATTCCATCCGTTAAATTTCTCCCCTATTTATGTGATCACTTATGCATAAAATCTTCTTATTAGTGCTTCTTGGTATGTAATAAAATCTTATTGTTAGCGCTTCTTCAAGTATTGTTTATAAGTATTGGGTACAAATTTTTTAATTTGTGTTTATTTTGGTGAATCTGATTGCAGTTTATGTTTTGATGCAGGCATGTAGACCAGTGAAGACTACAAATTTAATGTTAAGACATGATTTTTGGATATATGTTAGTTTGTGGTTAATGTTAAAACATGATTTTTGGATTTTGGATATGTTAATTTTGTGGGTAATGGTGATTGGATATTAATTGAATGAGAAAGTGAATTAATGCTTTATTATAGGTATTTTTTTAGTTCAATCAAATAAAATTAGCACAATTTCAAAAAAAAAAAAAAAAAAGGGTATATGACGGCGTTTCTACAAACGCATCTTAAACCCTACTGACTAACAGTTATATTTTTAAAAAAAGATATGACGGCGTTTTTCCCAAAACGTCGCTAAATATCGTCAGTGACGTTAGCGTGTGTTTAGTAGGACATTTTACGACGTTTTTAAAACGCCACAAAGCTATAGCGACGGCCGTGTCCTCGGCGTTTGGTACTAAGCGTCGCAAAAGGAATTTGCGACATTTTTGGAACTTATAGCGGCGTTCTTTAAATGCCATTAAAAGTCTGTTTTCCAGCAGTGCATTGAAGAAGGAATCAACTCCTTGGGGCTATGTTAGTGAGTTTTGCTCGAGATGTACTCGACTCATGTGAAAGGGTGTTTTGAGTGAGTTTCAAGATTAGTCAAGATACATGTAAATTGATTCGGACACTTTGTTATCAAAATTGAACAAGGTATTGTTTTAGGACTCAACTCAAATATGCAACCACTGGAATTCGAGGACACACTCACGCTGTGTTTGATTTGGGGATTTGGGAAAGAATTTGGAAAGAAAAATAGAAAAAGACACTACAAAAAATAACACTTTTAGCGACAAACTTTTTGGTCGCATAAAGATAATATATGGTTGTTAATAGTATTTAGCAACCATCAAAATTTAGTCGCCATGTAGTTGTAAAAAGCCCGTTAGAGAATGTTTTTGGCGATCAAGAATTAAAATGGTTGCTGAAATTTAACATTAGCGACCATATTGTTTGGTCACGAAAAGGATTTAAATTTGTTGAAGATAGAGCATTTGCGACAAAAAAATTGGTCGTGGGAATGAAGGTTTTCGAGCAACCAAGAATTAAGTTAGTCGCGGAAAGTTACCATTAGCGACCATATAGTTTCGTCGCTAAAAGGATTTAAATTTGTTAAGAATGTTCATTTGTGACAAAATAATAGTCGCGAAAATGAAGGTTTTTGGCAATCAAGAATTAAGTTGGTCGCGGAAAGTTTATGGTTTAGTAATTACATTAGTGGTCACCAATAGTTATTCCTAGAACCTTACTGCGACTAAAATTTTATTGGTCGCATAAAAGCTTTTAATTTCAAAAATGAATTTTTTTTAAATATAATGCTAATTTTTCTTAATACCTATAATACATTTGCAATTAACACATAATTCATGTCCATCCAATCAATTTCAATATACCAATCCATCAACAATCTAATCTAAAAACAAAAAACCATCAATTATAAAATCAAAATAGTAGTTAATGTGTGTAATTACAACCACCTGTCAACATGAATACATTACGCGTCCAAAATAACCATTAATCCTTATAACCCTCCAAAATAACCATCAATCCTTACAACAAATTCACCACATCAAAAAAATATTTAACAAAACCTTCAAAGATTTCAAATGCATGTCATATTTGTCCGATGCAAAGTATCTCAAAAACTCCACATATAAGCACAACGTAGAATTAATGAACCGGCAAACTCAGGTCCATAAACACGCATGACTACGCCTCTAGCTACTTGCAATAAAAAAATTGAAGAAAGCATTGTTAATTGTTTACATTTCTATTTTAATTTTGTAAAAATCTATGGATCTAACTCCACTCCCAAAACTAACAATCACACACAACCTTATTACCCAATTCAAAAAAAAATAAAAAAATACACACACATTAGTTTGTTGTGTATGATAGGGATGTCACTATAATCCTGAAGATATAGTTTTCAACTATTAAACGATAGTAAATAAATTAATGAAGTGCTACAAAATGCCCAAAGGAATAGAGTCCATGGACATATTCACTTTCCAACACATTAGATTGTCAGCATTTGGTTTTGCTCAACTTTTCTTTAAATATTGAGGAAGTTGACAAGATTACCTAATAGGGACTTGAAGCCCCGAGTTAAAACATATTAAAAAAAAAAAAAAAAATACACACACATTAGTTTGTTGTGTATGATAGGGATGTCACTATAATCCTGAACATATAGTTTTCAACTATTAAATGATAGTAAATAAATTAATGAAGTGCTACAAAATGCCCAAAGGAATAGAGTCCATGGACATATTCACTTTCCAACACATTAGATTGTTAGCATTTGGTTTTGCTCAACTTTTCTTTAAATATTGAGGAAGTTGACAAGATTACCTAATAGGGACTTGAAGCCCCGAGTTAAAACATATTTTTCCATTGAAAAGCAATTGGTTGAATATATGTCATGGTTATAGAGTGACACCCATATCACAATGTTAAAAGTGTTGCCTTACGAATAACATGAATAAAAAATGAGTACGCAAGTTTTTATTTTATTTTTTAAATTCTTGACATATCTAAAGTAAATTTAAAGGAAAATTTGACTTCTACAAATCACTATCTGATATGGCTTTGCTTCTTTTCCATAGATTGGTTTACTGTATTCAAGACTTGTTTAACATGATTGAATGATTAAAATAGAAAGGACAAAAAAGGAAAAAAAGAAAAAGAAAAATGAGAACAACTTGGTTTATCTCATGCTTTTTAGAAGTGATAGCAAATGTCAGTCCATTCAAATTTCAATATAAATTCAACATAATAACTAAAATCGTCTAGCACGCATCATCTCTGGTTCATCTTACCCAGCAATTTGGGGTTAAATAGAATACAACACATACATGTACATATCTAAAAATTCAATTCGAGGAATTAATTGTTTAAATAGTGAATAAATACTGAAATCCTCTATTCTTTCTATTCAAAAAATATTGATCGTAGTTACAACGTAGGATATATATACAGTGCAACAACTTGCCTAACAACTTGTAACTAACTCTAACAAATATCTAATAGCTAACTAATATCTAACTAACAACTATATGAGTTAAGATCGGATATGGTGGTGTAGATGGCATAAACTGCAGCAACATGAGCTGGTGCTGGTGCTGCTGCTGCTGTTGTTGTATATCTTTATCAGGTCCTGCAAGCTGATGGAGGGTTGAAACACCATAAGCTTGTCTTTAAGATAGAGAAATTGAGCCACTGGTAAAGGCTTAGTAAAGATGTCAACAAGTTGATCCATGGTAGGAATGTACTGCACAATGAGTCTCTTGGTAAGGACTTGATCTCGTACAAAATGGCAATCAACCTCGATATGTTTAGACCTCGAGTGAAACACAGGATTGGAGGCTAAAGCAATGACAGAGACATTATCGCTCCATAAAATAGAAATGATGGAGGAAAGATGGACAAATCAGTGAGAAGCATGCGAAGCCAAGAGAGTTCAATTGCAGTATGAGCTAAAGACCGATACTCGACTTCGGTAGAAGAACGAGAAACAGTGGGCTATTTCTTGGCTAACCAAGAGATGAGATTAGAGCCTAAGAAAATACAATATCCAAAGGTAGATTTGCGATCAAAAGAATCGCCAGCCCAATTAGAGTCAAAGAAGGCTTGAATATCAAAAGAGCTGGATGTGTATGAGTGACCATGACAGATGGTGCCTTTGATAAATCGAAGTAACCTTTTTACCGTAGAAAAATAACTCACAATAGGAGTATGCATATATTGACACAATTGATTGACAGTAAAAGCAATGTCTAATCGTGTGATGGTTAAGTACTGCAAAGCCCCAACTATACTGCGATAAAGAGAAGGATTGTCAAACAATTCAGCAGAAGAACTAGTAAGACTGGACTTGACAAACATAAGGGAAGAACATGGCTTGCACTTAGAGAGCCCAGCTCGCACAAGAATGTCATGAGCATACTTTTGTTGAGAAATAGTATAACCAGCAGTAGTAGATTGAATGGAAATCCCCAAGAAATAGGACATGGGACCCAACTCTTTCATAGAAAAGACTTCATGCATATGATCAGCAAGAGACTTAATATGGGCATCATTATTCCCTGTTAGCAAAATGTCATCAACATAGATGAGAAGAACTGTGATAGTGCGAGCAGTCTTCTGAATGAAAAGAGAAGAATCACATTTATTATTCTGAAACCCTTGAGAAATAAGAAAGGCAGAAAATGTAGAGTACCAAGCTCTAGGAGCCTATTTGAGCCCATATAAAGCTTTGTGGAGTTTACAAACATGAGTGGACGACTGAGTAGGATGAACAAACCCAGGAGGTTGTAATATATAAATTTCTTCCTCAAGAACTCTATGGAGGAAAGCATTAGATATCTCAAGCTGCTTGATAGACTAATTGTGATGAAGAGCAAGACAAAGAAGGATCTGAATTGTAGGCAATTTTGCAACAAGACTAAATGTCTTTTGATAATCAATACCCTCCTGTTGAAGGTATCCCTTAGCAACCAATCGAGCTTTGTGTCATGCTATGGTGCCATCAGAATTTCTTTTTACCTTAAACACCCATTTATATCCAATAGCAGTTTTCCCAAATGGTAAGGGAACAAGAGTCAGGTATGCTGTTTATGAAGAGCATGAAGTTCTTCGATCATGGCCTGATGCTATATAGGAGCAAGAAAAGCCTCTTTGTGAGAGGGAGGCTCAATGTCAACAAAGGAGAGGGGTGAGTTAGTGGTGGAAGCAACTAGTGCAGCAACTTTAGACCTGGTGGTCATAGAATGAATATTGGAAGAAGGAATGGTAAGAATGGTGGATTGAGAAATAGGTAATTGGATGGAAATGGACTGAATTGGTGATGTAGGACAAGATTGTAAGAATTTTTATATTTTTAGTTTTAATATTTTTGATATATTATTTTATTAGGATTCTTGTAATTTAGTATAAATAATTTAGAGAATTTTTATATTTTTAGTTTTAATATTTTTGATATATTATTTTATTAGGATTCTTGTAATTTAGTATAAATAATTTAGAATTATTAGGTTTCTTAATTTTATTATTTTGGAATTAGATTTTGACTAGGATTTTAAATAGTTTAGAATTTTAGTTTCCTATTGTAAACACCTCATTTTTGACCGACCTTAAGACTCAGACGTCATTGATTGAGCGCTCGGTGATGGTGTATGTTGTGCTCGTCCTGAGGTTTCGGAGTTTCGGCTGAGAGCCTTACCCCCGGACCTCGGGACCCTTTTGTGCTTTTCCTCGGTTTACGAACCAGGTCTTGTTTTCTCTTCCTGAAGGGAGGGAGAGGTCTCTTAGACCATCTCTCAGTGGCCGTAGGCTACTTTTCGTGGTTGTAGGCCACTTTTCCTGTTTGGAGATCAGTTTCTGGTTTTCGGAGCCGTCGGCCGCGCGTTTCGGTTCGAGACCACTTAACCTTCTCCGTTTGGCACGATTTTTGGCACACACCTTGTTTCCTTTGTCTAGAGGGACACTGTGGCCTGGGAGACCACCTTTGTGGTCGCACGCCACTTTCGATGCTTAATAGCCTGTTTTTGGGGCACCCGACTGCGCGTTTTGACCCCCGAACCCTTGTTTCGCATCCGTTTTGGTTCATTGTTGGCATGGACCTTGTTTTCATTGTTTGGGAGGTGGTACAAGGGTGGGAGACCACCTTTTCTCCTTAGAGACCACTTTTCTCCCACCAGCCGATTTTCTTGTTAGGAAGTTGGTCTCCTTGGTTTTTAAGCCACATTTGTTGGCCTCCCACTATACCACTAGCTTGCATTCAGTTGGGAGACCACCAAATGGGTTGGCCGACCACCTTTCTTTGACTTGACCCTTTTGAACTGGTCGGCCGACCACCTGAACTGGTCGGCGTACTCCCTCCAGTTCTGTCTCTGCGAGTTGTTGCCAGCTGTGCCAGCTGGAAGGCACAGAATGGATCCTTCATACATGTGTATAGAGGATCTTTAACCTTGGTTTTTAGTTTCTTTGAGAAGCTTGGGTCCCTTTTGGCTATAAAAGAGAGCCTCCCTCTCATTTGTAAAGGTTGAGATTTTGTTTGAAGGCAAAACATATATATCTCTCTATACCTCTCTACTTTGGTCTCAAGTGTGCCTTGTTCTTACACCTTTGCACACTACCTCATAGCCTAACACCCCCACCATTGCTTTGAGGTCCTTAGAGGTCATTTTCAGAGGTTGAAGGTCTGGGTTTTTGGTCTCAAAGTTGCTGTCTTGCTGAGCTTCAAGGGTAACATACTCTTTCCCTCTTTCTATCATCATTTTGATCCTTCTTTTAGCTATATTTGCATGCATATTTGAGCTTTGTTGTCAACTGGAAAAAGTCTTTTTTTGAGGTCCTTTTCATGTTTGTTTAAGGTCATTTTGTTGTTGGGGGTCATCTACCCCCTCGCATGCTTCATTTTGCCTTGTTTTGGGCCATGCCCTAAGGCTTTTGTATTGAGCTTTGCTTGGCCCTTTAACCACTGAAATCCAGCAGATTTTTAGTGGTTGGGATGTGGTTTTGAGGGCCAAAATCAGAGAGGGGCGACCCTCTCTCTTGTTGTCTTGTTTACTACCATTTTTGGCCTTACAAAGGAGCCTTCATTTGCACACCTCCAAGCCTTATTTCAGGCCTTTTTCAGTGACTTTTAGGGCCTGCCTAGGCTCTGTCCAGAGTTGGTTTTGTCACCTTGGGCGTGTCTCTTGCATGTGTAGAATAACCCCTCTTATAGCCTATCAAAGGTGCATGACATTCTTGCATGCATTGATCATGTTTCAGTAGGTTTTTGACTTTATTTGGCATGTCATGATTTTGTTTTTGGCTGGTTTGGTAGCCTCTCATGTGCTTCATATGGTTGTAGTGTAAATCATAGTTCACTAGCTTATAATGCATGTTGTCTTGGCCCTCCATTCTAGCATATTTTGGCCATGGTCCAAACTAATTTTATTCATATTTTGGGCTGCCTTAGCTCTGTTTGAAGTGTTTTGGGTCATGCATGCATTGTTGTATATGGTCATGGTTCAATCAAGCTTACTAGCTTTGTATATTGGGTCCACTAGCATGCGTTGTTTGGGCCTTTGACATGATTTAGCATCATTCCTACCATGATTTCAGTGCATATTACTTGGCCATATTCTCATGTTTGTCACTCTTTCAATGTGTTTGAGAATTGCATCATTATACCCTGTTTATGAGCCTTTGCATTGAGCTTCATTCTTATGCCTTTCAAGCAACCATCTTGGCTCATTTTGCCACTATTTTGGGCCTGCATAGGGACTGTTTGGAGTTGGTTTGGCCATTTGGGCATTGCTTTGCATGCCTATAGTGTAATACACTTCACTAGTTTCGGCGTTTGGGTCATCCAACATGTATTGTGTGAGTTGTTTGCATGATTCAGAGCCATTTTGTATGTCATTTCAGAGCTGGAACATGTGTCATTGTATGCCATATTTCATTCATTCAATGCTTTTGTAAAGTTGCATTTTGTGCCTTAGGCTTGGAGCCCTCGCATTGTGCATGCTTGTGTGTTTCTCGGGGCCTTGTTTTCATCATGTTTGGCCACTGATTTGGGTGTGGCCAAGGCCCATCCATCTTGGTTTAAATCCATCTCACATTGTGTATGCCCTATAGTCCATGTTATCGCATGTTTGATCATTGCATTGCGTATGCCTCGTTCATAACATTGCGTATGTTAGTGCATTGTGTATGCATGCCATATAATCCATGTGCATTGAGTATGCCATTGATTAGTTCATAGCATTATGTATGCCATTTGCATGCTTGCATGTCATTCCGTCCATCTTCACATTACTTAGTTGCATTGCATTTAGACCGCATGCTAGAGTTGCATTTGTCCATACATTGTTTGTTGCATTGTGTTTGGAGTAGGGTTTAGTCCAAACACGGGAAACGAGGAACGTTTTATACTCCAAGTGATGAAACGTGCCTCGATTCTCGGTCACCGACACTCTTGACCATCCATGATGGAGTTGTTGGTTTTAGTTGCTTATATGTGCATTCATATCCCATTGAGTCGTGCAATTCAACTCCTCGGCCATCATGTATCGGGATACGTGATAGGTGGCCCGAGGATCGAGGACTACACTCCCTAGATCTTATGCAATGACGGGGGGAATGGTCGGGCACACATATGTTAAAAATACCTTGCCTTCTCTCTCCCTTACCTTTGTTGCAGAAAAAGCAGAAATCAAGAGAATGAACTGTCGGCCGACCAGGTTTTCTGGCAGGCCGACCACCTTTTCTGGTCTTCACCACCAAGGGTGGTCGGCAGGTGGTCTCCCTTGCCCATGGCTTGGTCGGCAGCCTTCCCACAGCTTCCTGGGGTGGAGTTTCATCTCTCTGGAGCCTCGTGAAACTTTCTGAAATCAATTGCAAACAAAGGCGAGCCGGGGCATCGCTATGGATTTCCCGACAAGACGACTCGAGCATGCATGCATCCTTTATCATTCGGAACAGAGCTGAGGCAGTCCATTTCATGTAGCTTGCATGCTAATTTATTTGCTTCCTTAGTTTAATTTGTTAATTAATTAATGTTGTGTAATATTTAGCTGTAATTCGTTATTCATTTCGGTTGTGTAATAACTAGTTTAATTAGCTTAGATTAGCTAGTTATTAGCTTAGATTAGCTAGTTGATTCTGTATTATTTATTCTGTTTTGAGGGCCAAGGGTAATGTTGTAATAAGTGTGCGT